TTTTTTTTTTTTTTGTACCGGGAATCGAACTCACTACTTCACACTTTTGAGGCAGGCGCTGTGCCGCTGAGTTATATCCCTGGTGCAATAAATGCTAGCTTTTATTTATTTATTTATTTTTTCTCTTTTTGAGACAGGGTCTCGCTATGCATTCAGGCTGGCCTTAAGCTCACTTTGTAGCCCAGGCTGGTCTTAAACTGGCAACGATCCTCCTGTCTCAGCCTCCCGAGTGCTGGGATTACAGGCGTGCACCACAACGCCCGGCTCATTGTTAGCTTTTATTAATGTTATTTTACAGACCCAAGTTCACGTCTTGTCTTCTCCACTTACTAGTTGTGCCATTTCAGGCAAAACCTTCTAGGAGCCTCAGTCTTCGCTGGACAATGCGGGGACCGCTCCTTATTCTTTCTTCCTACCAGGGTCTCTTGGAAATCACAGAAAGTGGTGGAAGGATCCACTTGACTTCACTCCTCTTCCCATCCTCCCTAGCCTTTGCCCATGTACTGAGCATAGACTCAATGAGCCATTGTCATTTGAATAAACAAATGAAAGATAAAAGTGATTTGCAATTTATCAAATGCTGTAATAAATAACCTTTTCCTTTTTTTTTTGTTTTTTTTTGTTTTTTTCTTTTTGGTACTGGGAATGAACTCAGGACCTTGCACTTGATAGGCAGGCGCTTATGCTGCTGAGCTATATCCCCAGCCCTAACCTTTTCCTTTGTAAACATCTTGCCCCTGGGTCAGGCATTATGTTTGTTGCTTTAAACACAGTATCTCCCCAATGGTGAGTGTGATGGTAGTGATGATGATGGCTTCTTAGATGAGAAAATTGAAGACTGACTTGCCCTAGGTCAGCCATCTAGGAAGGGGTAGAGCTGGAATTTGAACCAAATTTAGTAGAACTACAAAACTAGCTCTATTATCCCACCGTCCACCGCCATAATTGTTACATTACTATGTTTAATTTATCATTACTGGCCAAGGTCACAAGTTCACAGGCCCGCTTAGAGTCTGATACAAAACTACACCCTACTCCCATCACACCAAGGCGCTTAGGGGAATATCTTCTTTCTTTGGGCAAAGATATTGACAGACCCCTCTTCTCTCTAAAAGTCCCCTTTTGGGACAGACTTTTTGCCCCAGGTTGAAACCCCTCTCTTTTTTTTTTTTTTTTTTTTTTTGTTTTTTTTTTGTGTGTCACTATTTCGTTCAGGCTGGCCTTGAGCTCACTTTCTAGCCCAAGCTGGTCTGGAACTCGCAATGATCCTCCTGCCTCAGCCCCCTGAGTGCTGGGATTACAGGCGTGCACCACCACGCCCGGTTGAAACCCTTTCTTGGCCTCTCTGAATCTCCCAATTAGAAGAGTTCACTTCCCTGTGTGGTGCAATCCCATGGAACCGAAATCTCAGTTTCCTGCTCCCAGATGAGAGTTCTCTTTCCTCTCTCAGGCTGTTTCTGACTAAACACCAAGGAGGGAACTTCCAAGCTGAGGTGGATAGAGTATTATATGGGGCGCAGATAGGGTCCTCCTGCAACCTGCTGTGTGGCCAGGAGCAAGTTACTGCCCTCTCCAAACCCTTGATTTTCACATCCGGGGATAAGATCAAGGAAGTGGGTGACGGAGGACCTCTGTGACCTGCGCGACCCCATTCCCCAGACCCTTGGCACCCCAACCCCCATGCCCACTCACATATTCCTGGAGCAGCTGCTCAGCGTATTTGGTGAGGAGGCGGGCAAGGCTGTGTGTCTGACGGATCTTGGCCTCCAAGTGAGGAAGGAATGAGACTGAGGAGTCAGCCTGGGGGTCTTCTGGTGGGAGAGGGGTAAGAATGAGGGCAGCCCGAGGACCCTTGCTCCTTGACCACTTCTCCCCGGGCCAAGGGAGGAGACAGGGGCTCTTTTTTTTTTTTTTTTTTTCTGTACGGGGAATCGAACTCACGACCTCGTGCTTGCCCGGTAGCCGCTGTGCCGCTGAGCTAAATCCCCAGCCCTGCTCTTCCTTCCTGAACCTGAAACTCTGCTCTGGTTTCTCCAGTGTTCAAAAGACTGCTCCATTCTTTTTTTTTTTTTTTGGTGTTTGTTTTTTTTTCTGGTACCGGGAATCGAACTCATGACCTTGCGCTTGCCAGGCAGGCGCTGTGCCGCTGAGCTAAATCCCAGCCCCCGACTCTGCTCCATTCCAACTGCGGGAAAATGAGGCACCATATCATTGTCAGTTGCTCTGTGTGCAGTGTAGCCCCGTCTTCATATCACTGTTGAAATACTATTAAAGTCAAGTTTAAGTTCTGCCCCTTAGTGCAGCCTCCAGATTTTCTCTTCCCTAAAATAAACTTTTTCTTTTCACTGAAGGCCATTTGTTCATACTTCCACAGTAGCTCTTTTATCATTGTGTATCCATCGTGGCCTGGGATCCCCTTAAGAATAGGGCTTACATATACTTCTGAGGCTGTTGGTACAATTCGGCATCACTGAAGCACAGAACTTCAAATTGGGATATGCCTTAAGGCCCGTTTGACGGAAGCCCCATTCCCTCCTCTTGCCCCCTGTATGCGAAGCGCGGGGCTGGGCATCCGGGAATCAGCGTCCAGTCTTTGCCTGCACAGGCCAGAACATGGAGAACTACATTTCCCAAGAAGCAAAAGGCGGACGCCCAGTGCATGCCGGGGAATGTAGTCCTGACCCGGCGACTCCCGCCCCGCCCCCGCCCGAGTTTCCCACCGACAGTAGCGATCCTCAGCAGCCTGGGACTGTTGTCTCCTGCTGTCACTTACTGATAGCTCCTGCAGCTCAAAGATTTCCTTCCCTAACTCTACTTCTCCTTTCGGCTCCACAGCACTTGAGTCTTTCCCAAATCTCAGAGAGGCCCCTGGTTGCCCCAGCTCGGACTCCAGACCTCCCTTAGGGTGTACTCACCGGCTTGATCGGTGACCTGACCCCTGATCTAATCGGGACTCAGACCCCCGAAGCCTCAGCCCCAGGCCTACCCCCAAGCCCTTGCGCCTGCCGGTCTTCCAACTCACCCGCTCGTTACCTGACACCGGAGCCTGTTCTCCCCCGCCCAGGCCACACCTCTCCCAGGCCCAGGATGGCGGAGACCCAGACCCCAGCTGTCACCCCTTCTGACTCCTACTCCCCTCAGGGACCCAGCTTCCAGTCCCTCAGCCCCTTACCCAGACTTCCCTCCCTCAGGCTCATGCTGGCCCCTGGCTGATCCCGGCTCCCTCCACGCCCCCCTTCCCAGGGGGGAAGAAGGGGAGAAGGGTGGGGGCGTGGCCCAGGAGCGGCCAATCATAGCCCAGACCCCAAAGAGGTCCCCCCTCCCTCACCGTCGCTTCCAGGCAGATTCCTTGGCCCTGAGCTCAGCTCCCCGCCTGCTGGGCCTAGTCTGGGAAGAGGCCCAAAGTGGGAGGCAGGTTGTTGGCATAAGGAATGGGCCTGGGGGCTGAGGGTGTCAGGGCCCGGGAGGCGGCCCTGTGTGCTGCTGCTTCCGAGCCGAGGCAGGGCTTGAAGTCTGGGCTGCTTTGGGGTGAAAAGTGGGGCACAGGGGAAAGAAGGTGCGGACAGGAATTTGGAGGCCCTCCCTCCTGGCTGGGGGTATGGGGCATGAGAGGGGCTGTGGGAGCAGGGTAGTTTGGAACAAACCTGCCTAGACACCCACCTCCTAGCCTATCTTAGGTGCTTCCACTTGTACCTCACACCTGCCAGGAGGCAGACCCCACCTCACCTCATCAGGCCCAGTAAGACTCACACATAAATCTGCTGAAGGGTAAAGTGTACACATTCTCACTCCAGTGAGAACAAGCCTCAGAGACCTGTACAGGAGGCTGTCCTGGACAGCAACCCAACCCCATTAACCTGGTGTAGACACTGAAGGGTCTGAACACTTCCCAGGACTGGCTCCCAAGTACCGACTCTGTCCTGGCCTCTGGGGCGGTCATGGTCTATATTTGGTCTCTGGCTCCCTAAAGAGCTCACAGTCTAAGAGGACAGAAACAACAACAGGACACTGTTTTGGTTTCCTTTTTTTTTTTTTTTGTCTTTTTGACACAGAGTCTTGCTATGCAGTTCAGGCTGGCCTTGAGCTCACTTTGTAGCCCAGGCTGGCCTGGAACTCGCAACGATCCTCCTGTCTCAGCCTCCTGAGTGCTGGGATTACAGGTATGCACCATTATGCCCGGCTGGTTTAGGAACAAAGGGACTGAGAGGAGACCTGTGTCTCTGAGGCTACTACCAGACAATTGCCAGGACAAAGGAGGTCACTGGCATAGCAGCCAGTCACCGGGGTCATAAGCACACACTTATCACCAGCGGGTATTTATTGTGTGCCAGGCACTGTCCTAAACCTACTTCTGTGTTACAGATGAGGAAATGGAGGTGAGTGACTTGCCCGAGGTCACACAGCTGAGTGTGACAGATCTGAGATTTTTACCTCAGTAGTCTGGCTTCAGAAATGCTGCCAGCTAGCTTCCCAACCCCTTCACCCCTCCGGACATGACCACACGAAACCTCACAGACATGCCTTGGAAAAATATACACAGGGACCACAGCTCAAATTTAGACACAGTCTTTATCTACTGACTGGCCAGCCTCAAAAGCAACCATGCCTATAACCCCAGTATTTGGGGCTTGAGGCAGGCGGCTCAGGGCCAGTTTGAGGCCCCCTTGGGTTACACTGTGAGTTCAAGGCCAGCCTGAACTATGTAGTGAGATCCTGTCTCAAACAAAACAAAGCAACAACCATATCACATTAATTTTAGGAAAATTTTTAATTGAACTATAATGCATACATGGAAATGTACACACACCGTAAGTGTACAGCTTCTGAGTATTCACAGAGTAAATATGCCCAGAGGACCAGCACTGGATTAAGAAACACAACATGACCAGCTCCCAGAAGACCCCCCTCGTATCTCTTTCAGTCCCAAGGGTGACCACTATCATGACTTCTTCAATCATAAGTTCTTGTTATTGAATTTGATATAAATAGATTCAGCTATTTTTTTTTTTTAAATCTTTTTGAGACAGGGTCTCACTACGCAGTTTAGGCTTGCCTTGAGCTCACTTTGTAGCCTAGGCTGGTCTCAAACTCTCAGTGATCCTCCTTCTGCCTCAGCCTTCCAAGTGCTGGGATTACAGGCCTGTGCCACCACACCTGGCCATCTAAAGTGGTGGGGTTTTTTTGTTCTTTTTTTTTGAGACAGAGTCTTGCTATGTAGTTCAGGCTGTCCTTGAACCCACTATGTAGCCCTGGCTAGCCTCAAATTCATAGTGATCCTCCTGCTTTAGCCTCTTGAATGGGGGGATTTTAGGCATCTGCCACCACATCCAGCCACTAATCTTTTCTTTCCTTTTCTTTTTTTGTCTTTTTTTGAGATAGGGTTTCACTACGCAGTTCAGGGTGGCCTTGAGCTCACTTTGTAGCCCAGGCTGGTCTCAAACTCATAACGATTCTCCTGCCTCAGCCTCCTGAGTCCAGCCTCTAATGTGTATTCTTGTAGCTATCTTCTTTTCCTCAAAATTTGTTCATGACAGTTGTCCAATGGAGTTCGTCAGGACGTCAGCCATTCTGGTTGCTGCGTCTACATAGTACAAAATGGTCATAATTCATTTTCCATTCTATCTTATGGGTTGTTTCCACTCCGGGGCTATTGTGAACAGTGCAGTGAACGTTCTTGGCGCTCACACATAAGCATTGCTGTTGGGTATTGACATCCTAGTAGTGGAATTGAGGGATCATAGGTTTGGCATACGTTCAGGTTCGCTAGAAAACTGCCGGTTTTCAAGTGTCTTTATCAAGTTACACACCTCCGTATAGATCAGTGGGTCCTCGCCTACATTTCGTGCGGTCTGTCTTTCTCACTATGTTCATGCTAATCAAGGAGATCCACTTATATTTGCAGTCTGGCAGGTAACAGGTACTCACGTAATAGACTTGAATGAATGAACAAGTTGCGCAGCGTAAAATCAGCCGGCCTGGAGAGGGCGGAAGCGTGCGTGCTTGCGCGCGGACACACACGCGCGGCCCCTCCGCGACGCCCACCCGCCGCGGATGCACACCGGGACACACGCCCTCGCGGTGCCCCGGTGCCCACGTGGTCCGCACTCCTTGGCCCCGCCCCCGCGCTGCCCAGGCCGCGGGAGGGGCCGGGCCGGGGCGGGGCCCGGCGGCAGGAAGCGGGGCGGGGACTCGCGGAGGCTGTGGGGAGCGGGAGGGCGCGGCCAACTCCCGGAGGGACGTCAGGCTGCGAGAGCGGCGCCGGGCTCTGGCGCGGAGCCCGAGTCCGCCGGAGGGGAGGCGGCCCCGCCGCGGGCTCGGCCGGGCCCCCGCGCTGCCACCATGGCCGGCCGGACCGTGCGGGCTGAGACCCGGAGCCGGGCCAAGGATGACATCAAGAAGGTGATGGCGACCATCGAGAAGGTCCGGCGATGGTGAGCGCTGCCCCGAGGCCAGGGACGGGACGTGGTGAGGCCACCAGCCCGAAGGCGGCTCCCCTCGCCTCGCTGGCCGGCGCCCCAGGTGTGAGGCGGGTCCACGCCCAGCCTCAGTGCCCTGGGCCGGCAGGCTTCTGCCCCCCTTCCCCTGGCTACTCCCCGGCGGTCTACAAAGCGTGGTCCCCTGCCGCGCCTCTCCCGGGCGGGAGCCCTCCTCCTCGCCCCGCCCCCTGAAGCTCTGACACTCCTCCTGCGAGCGCGCCGCGCGGTCTTCGCGCTGGAGTCCCCGGCCGGGCCCGCAGGGGTGCCGCCTCCGTGCTCCCCAGGGGTCTGCAGAGCCGCGGCCCCAAGTCGTACAGACCCCTCTCCGGAGGCACCCACCCGTGCCCTGGTGCTCTCAAGGCCGGCTCTCCCCCGCTGGCCGAGCCCCTGCCCGCGTAGTCTCACCCAACTCTGCAGGTACCCCTCTCCGGGCCTCTCCCCCAGCCTCTGACCCGCCCCCTGCCCTCCCACAGGGAGAAACGCTGGGTGACCGTGGGCGACACTTCCCTTCGTATCTTCAAGTGGGTGCCCGTGGTGGACCCCCAGGAGGAGGTGAGCAAGCCCCGGCCCGGCCCCCGCGAGTTTGCGAGCTCAGGCCCCCTCCCCCGCCCCCACCTGCAGTCGGAACGCAGAAACCCGGGTGCTGTAGTCCAGCAGACGGTAATGTTTATTAACAGCTCCTCCCCCGTGCCTTCTTCCCTGCTCCAGACCCCAGAGTTCAAGGCGGAACCACCCCGTGTATACAGCCTCTGTCGCCTCCGGCAGGGCCTTTTGCTTCTCTTTGCCCGTTTCCTCATTTCTATGGAGGGGTCTCTGCAAAAACTAAGCAGAAAGCTGGCTCTGACCCTTATCCCTCTAACCCCAGGAGCGACGGCGGGCAGGTGCCGGAGCAGAGAGATCCCGGGGCCGGGAGCGGCGGGGCAGGGGCACCAGCCCCCGAGCAGGCGGCCCCCTCATCCTGCTTGATCTCAATGGTATGTAGGGGTCCTGGGGTTTGAGGGGCTGTAGGGATTGAAGGCGGGTGCTGGGGGCCTCAGGCCAATCCTCTCAGCTTTTGCTCCCACAGATGAGAACAGCAACCAGAGTTTCCATTCCGAAGGCTCCCTGCAAAAGGGCACCGAGCCCAGTCCTGGGGGCACCCCCCAGCCCAGCCGCCCTGTGTCACCTGCCGGGCCCCCAGAAGGGGTCACCGAGGAGGCTCAGCCCCCACCGCTGGGCCAAGAGAGAGGTAGGACCACGTGCCTCCCAGCAGCCTTCTACTCTGACTCCTGTGCTCTCTGAAGTTAAATCCACCACCTCACCCCATACCTGTGCCCCCCTCCTGCTGCCTCCTGAGGGGTGTCCCTGCCCCCTGCAGACACTCCCTCCAGCTGCTGTCTCATTCTTCTGCCTTCTGAGCTGTAGATAAAACATCCTCAGACTTCTCATGCACATCTCGGTCTTTGCTTAATCTTTTTGTATTCCTAATGTCCGCTTCTTTGTTTTGTTTTGTTTTGTTTTGGTACTGGGAATTGAACTCACGACCTCGTGCTTGCCAGGCAGATGCTGTGCTGATGAGCTAAATCCCCGGCCCTGTCCCCTTCTTGAATGTTGTGCCCCTGTTCATCTTCTTCAGTACTGTATCCTCAGAATACCATGGGGCACATAATAGGTACTCAATAAATATTTGTCAAGTGAATCAATACCAGTGCCAATCATAGGCGTGAGTAATACTAATAGGGATACTAATAGCAAATATTTATTGAATCCCTTTTATGTACCATGCACCCTTCTAAGCACTTCACCTGCTTTTTCTTTTTTTTTTAAATAAAGCAGCTACATTTATTCAAGTTAATGGGGAAGGTGTGCTAGGGTTCATGCCAGCAGAAACCAAAAGGTGGCATGAATGGGAAAAGTAGTGGTAGGATGGTGGTGGAATAGGAAAAGGTGAAGATAAACCAGGCTTTCGGATTTTAAAAGACTTTTTTTTTTGAGACAGGGTCTCTCTATGCAGTTCAGGCTGGGCTTCAACTCACTTTGTAGCCCAGGCTGGTCTCGAACTCATAACAATCCTCCTGCCTCAGCCTTCCGAGTGCTGAGATTACAGGCATGGGCCACCACTGCTTTTTCTCATTGAATCCTTACAACAGCCTTAAAAAGGTCATGATCCTATTATGGTCTTTTTCTTTTTTTTTTTTTTGTCTTTTTGAGACAGGGTCTAGCTATGCAGTTCAGGCTGGCCTTGTGCTCACTTTGTAGCTCAGGCTGGTCTCAAACTTGCAACCATCCTCCTGCCTCAGCCTCCCGAGTGCTGGGATTACAGGCGTGTGCCACCTCACCTGGCTGTTATGGTCTTTATTTATGGAAGAGGAAAACTAGACCCAGAGAAGCTATACAAGGAACCCAAGCCCATGCAGTGCCCTGGGCCCGAGTCCTGTGCCTTCCATAGAGTCAGTTCTCTCTCTGGTTGGGACCCCTGACAGTCCCATCTTTCACCTGCTTCTGCTCTGGCCTCTTCACTGTTTCCAGGTGCCTCTACCCAGCTGATGGAACAAGTTTTTCAAAGCACAACTTTGATGGGGTCATTGTCCTGCTTCGTATTCTTCTGTGGCTCCCCATAGCCTTTGTGGGAACCTTCACAGACTGTTTGCTGATGGCTTCATTGTTCCCTTCTGAGAATACCATGACATGGGTCTAGGGGCTGGGTCTAGACCATGCCAAGCACTTTTATACTTTTTTTTTTGTGGCACTGGGGATTGAACCCAGGGGCTTTGCGCTAAGCTACATCCCCAGCTGTTTTGTTTGTTTGTTTGTTTGTTACTGGGAATCGAACTCAGGACCTTACGCTTGCCAGGCAAGCGCTTGTGCCGCTGAGCTATATCCCTGGCCCTGTTATTTATTTTGAGACAAGCATTTGGTAAGTCTCTTTAAGTCACCCAGGCTGGGCTGGAATTTTTTTTTTTTTGAGGCTTGAATTTTTTTTGTTTGTTTTTTTCCATTACCGAGAATCGAACTCACGATCTTGTGCTTGCCAGGCAGGCGCTGTGCCGCTCAGCTAAATCCCCAGCCTTGAGGCTTGAATTTTTGATTCTCCTGCCACAGCCTCCCAGAGTGATGGGATTACAGGTACTTTTATGCCTTTGGTAATATAAAAATGATAGGAATTAGGGATGTAGCTCAGTGGTAGAACACTTGTCTAGCAAGCATAAGACCCTGGGTTTGATCCCCAGCACTGCAAAAAAAAAAAACAGAACAAAAACCCAGGTGGCATTTATTGGCCACATACTATGGGCCAGACACTGAGGATTATTTCATTTAATCCTCACAGCAGTCTCATATGATAATTGCTGGCATTATCCCCATTTTGCAGATGAGCAAACTGAGACCCAGAGGAATTCAATGGCTTGTCCAATGTCACAATTTGAACTTAGGCAGTCCAGCTGCAGAACCTGTGCTCACTAAGCATGTGTTCAAGACGCCATAGCAGTTCTTTCCTTTGTCTCCCTCCTGGATGGCACCCAGGTCCCGGCCCCTTCTTCACTGCTCTCACAGCCTGCTTGTGTGACTGGCACCCGTCTGTGTTTGCTTTCCCCTCCGTCTGTGCTGCTGGCACGGAGTGGCTGCTCAGGGAAGGTGTGTTCACTTGCCGTTGCAGAGCCCGCGGTCATGCCTGCAGGCGGGACTGATGAACCCCCCATGCTGACCAAGGAGGAGCCTGTTCCAGAACTGCTGGAAGCTGAGGTGAGAGAGGCCAGAAGGCTGCACTCCCAGGTCTCCGAGGGGACGGGGGCTCTGGGGTACTGGGGCTTCATCCTGAGGTCCAGGAGTGAGATGTGGACCCAGGACCCAGCAAAGGCTTAGAGGCAGATTTGGCGGGGACTGAAAAACAAAGAGTGTTTTAGAGACACAGTCCTGGGGTCTGGATCAGGGCGGATTCAAGAGCATTAAAACCGTGGAGTAATCATGGTGCTCCACGTATTAAAAAAGACAAGCAAGGCTGGAGATGTAGCTCAGTGGCAGAGCGCATGCTACACAGGAGCGAGATCCTGGGTTCCACCCCCAGCACCACACGCACACCACAGAGTCCTAAACCACAAGATTAGCCTAAGAAAGCGCCTCGTAAACTTGACTTTTCTCACAAGGACTACCTTGCAGCATTTTTCAGAAAGATGAGATTCTTTCCCTGAAACAGTGTAGCCACTGTTGTCGTTTTTCCGTGGCCCCTTGGGCTGTATCTTGGTGGCCTGGCCCTGGGCTGGCCTCCTGGGTCGGGCAGGGAGTAGAGTGGAGGCTTTGGAGAGGGCAGAGGCCAGGAGGCTGTGCTCCTGGGCGGGGTGGAGCTCACGCCTGTCCACCCTTCCTCTCCAGGCCCCTGAAGCTTACCCCGTCTTTGAGCCAGTGCCACCTGTCCCTGAGGCAGCCCAGGGTGACACAGAGGACTCGGAGGGCGCCCCCCCACTCAAGCGCATCTGCCCAAATGCCCCTGACCCCTGAGAAGCCGGCCGGCCTGCCTGTCCTGTCATCCCAGGGGCCCCTCTGGCTTTTTACAAATAAAGTCCCTTTTGTAATTTTGTGTCATGTCATTTCCCCCTGTCAGGGCTGGGAGGGTCTTTAGAGACAGTTTTGTCTCGTGTTCCATTCCTCAGATGGGGTCACTGAGGCTCGGAGAGGACCTTTCTATAGTCACATGGTGATCAGATGTGCAGTGGGGGCTTGAGCCAGGACCCCGTCTCCCCAACACCCCCACCCTTCTTCCCTCCCCCCTCTGACCTTCCCTCACCTGACTCCCCTCCTTTGGGAATCCCAGGACCCCTCTTCTTCCTGCTCAGTCGTCCCCTGGGCCCAGCAGATGTCACCATTGTGGACAGCGAGGCTCATGATTTCCGTATCCCTTGGTCTGAAACACAGCAGCCCAGAGGGATACAGGGGCCTGGGATGACCCAACCCACTCCTTGCCCTCAGGAAGCTGCCACGTCGCCCCTGCACCTGCAGCCCCGGCCCTCACTTGTGCCTGAGACCTCCTTGTCTCCTGCTCAGTCACCTCCTCCAAGAAGCCTTTCTGGACCCCAAGCTTAGTCTGGTTCCCTTCTCTGAGTTCCCACAGTGCCCCGGGCTTCCTTCCCTTTGCTCTGGTATCTGTCGGGCTGTTTTTGGGATCACTGGTCTGTGTGTTTATCTTATCTCCTAGGCTGTGCCCACTTTGAGGATACAACTGGGTCCCCCACCTACCTACCTCCACATTAGTAATGTGGCAGTCACAGCACGGCTTTGTGAATGAAAGAGTGAATGAATGGTCTGGTGGGGTTGTCCAGGAAGGCTTCTCTGAGGAGGCAGCATGTGAGCTGGGCTCTGAGACACAGCCCTCAGTATGGGTGAGCTGAGGTGAGAAGGCCTGGTTCAAGTCCTAGCTCTGTCACTACCTGTGTGGCTCTAGGCCGGCTATTTGACTCTCTGAGCCTTAGTCTGTTCATCTGAGTAATGGGGATGATAGCTATGCCTCACCTGTCCCAGTAGTTTGTAGATTATTTCATGTCATGTAAGATCCCCTTCTCTGTGCCTACAAGAAGCCAGGCCAGGTCTACAACCTCTCCACTCCCTTTTTTTTTCTTGGTATACGTACCAGGGTCTTTGCACTGAACTATGTTCCCAGCGCCCCCAGCCCATTTTTGTTGTTTATTTTGGGACAGGGACTCACTAAATTGCTGAGTTGCCTAGGGTGGGCTTCACTTTGTAATCTTCCTGCCTCAGCCGCCTAGAGTTCTGGGATTAAAGCCATGTGCCACTACAGTAGATCCTATTTTTTATTTTTAATGAAGGAAGAGACAGATTCAGAAAGGACCAAAATGAAACTTAAAATAACCATTAAAAAAATGTAAAGGTGTTTCCTGTCATAATAGTGGAACCAGAGCTGCCCAGGGCCCAGGGGTGCAATGATGTGGTTTAGCTGTTCCTGTTGCTGCAAAGAATTACCACAAATATAATGGCTTAAATCCACACAAATTTATTATCTTACAGCTTTGGGGGTGAGAAATCCAAAGTTAGTCTCACTGGACTAAAATCAAGGTGTCAGCAGGGACAGTTCTTCCCACAAGCTGTAGGGCACAATCTGGTTCCTGCTCTGTTCTAGTTTGTAGAGGCTACCTACGTGCCTTGGCTTGTGGCGTCTCCCTCCCATCTTCAAAGCCATCAGCAGAGCACCTAACCTGTTACATCCTCTTCTCTAACTCCATTTTATAAAGCCCTTTGTGTTTACATTAGCCTATCAAGATAATCCAAGATTCTCTTCCCATCTTGACCCTGAATTCATTTGCAAAATCCAATTTGATATGTAAAGTAATGTATTCAAATCTGGGGATTAGGAAGTAGACATCTCTGGAAGGCCATTATTCCATGTATACTATATATGGCAATTTCAGCTGGGTGTGTGATTCTTCTCATTATCCTCTTGTTGACCCCACGAGGTGATGCAAATACTCTGTAAACTGCCAAGTGCCTGGGATTAGTGTACAATGTTAAGGCCCATAGGTCAGGTCTTGGGTTTGAATCTTACCATCTGCATTCATTTGCTGTGTGACTTTGAGCAACCAATTGAACATCTCTTTTCTCATCTGCCTCAGTTTTCTCATCTGTAAATCAAGGATGATAGTAACATCGGTCTGGTAAGACTATTCTGGACATTAAATGAGCCAATACATGTCGAGAGAGCCCTTAGCGTAGCACATAGTCAATCTTTTTTGTTTGTTTGTTTTCTGGTACTGGGAATTGAACTCACGACCTTGCACTTGCCAGGCAGGTGCTGTGCTGCTGAGCTAAATCCCCAGCCCCTGCCCCCCCGCTTTTTTTTTTGGTCAATCTTAATAAATGTCAGGGCCGGGGATATAGCTCAGTGGCACAGCGCCTGCCTGGCAAGTGCAAGGTCCTGAGTTCAATTCCCGGTACCAAAAAATAAATGTCAGTTGGTTTCCCTAGTACCCCATTTTATAGGTGAGGAAACTAAGGTATGGGGATAGATACCAGAGGCCTGCCTGTCAGTGAGGCTGGGAAGAGGACCCTGGCCCGGATGGGGTGTCCGTTCTGAGCAGCCTTGAGAAGGTGGAGTTTGAGGCTCTTTCCTTATGACAGACCACAGGCAACTGTGCCAAGCCAGGCCTGCCCGCTTCCTGCAGCCTGTTCCCTGCTGTGGCCCACAGGGCATCTCTGCCACAGTCACACCTCTGCTCCACCCTCCGCCCTGCCCTCTCTGCCACCTCCCCGTGGTGGCCATTCTCATTTTAGAAAGTCTCTGCCCTTGGAGGCCCTGGCCTCCACTGCGCCGCTTCTCCTCCTCCCGCAGCCTGTCTCCTCTTCCTGTCTGTTGGCCGGGCTCTGCTCCTCACGGACACCTCCAGTCCCACCTCCCCTCTGAGTTCATGTTTTGAATTCCCTGCCTCTGAGTTCTGCCCCAGCTTCCAGACTCAGCACAGATGGCTGCCGAGCAGCTACATGGGATGTCCCCATCCCACGGGCCGCGGCCTCGGGCCTCGTTTTCCCCAGCTGCTTCCTACTGTCTCCTGTGCACCAGGAGTTGGAGTCCGCTTCCCTGAACCACCATGTCCTCATCTCTTAGTGATCCTCGAGTTCGCTCCTCCAGGACCACACTGCTTCACTTTCTTCGGTGCCAACAGAACTTGGTAGAGCTTCCTGGCAGGACTGCCTGCCCCAGCCTCGCGTCCTTCCGACCCATGCTCCGTCTGGCCCTCCTGAAGCCCGCCTCTGCACGATGCTGCCCTAGCCCAGCCTGCAGCGCCCCCGGCCCCTGTGCAGTGGGGCTGCGCTCTGCTGCTTCCTCAGCCCCAGCTCCTCTGCACTGCCCAGAGTGGCCCCAAATGCAGCCCAGCGTGTCTCACCTCTCAGGCTTTCTTACGCAGTTTGCTTTGCCAGGTGTGCCCTTGCCGTCCCTCTTGTTAGGCAGACTTCTTGTTTGTCACACCGTGGCTGCCAGGGGAGTTTCCCCTCCTTTGCTGTGCACCCTGTTCCGCACAGCACTGGCTCCCTCTGCTTGCGTCTTCAGCACCAGACTGGGAGCTCCACAAGGGCAGAGGGATTCCCGAATCACAGTGACACGTATTTACGTACTGTCTGCTGGGCACTGTTCTAACCCCTGGGAGTGTAACATAAGCAACATGGAAAAAAATCAGTATATGTGTCAAGCTTCTTGGTTTCCTATGGCTTGGCCTGGCAACCCAAAGGGAAGTCGTAAGCACAATCATGGTGGCCTAGGGACAGGGCTATGTCCTGAGAAGTGCATCTGAGGCGATTTCACCATTGTGCAACGCTGGAGTGCACTTACACAAGCTAAAGTGACTTCACCAGGTGTACAATCCATCTCTCACTGAGACACTGGCATGCAGCACACGACTACACTTAAAGCAGAGTAAGGAGCCGGGGAAAAAGCAGGTGGACAGGTCAGGAGAGGCCTCATCTGAAGGTGATCCTGAAGGAGGTGAGGTTCTGGTGGAACCACGCTCCAGGCAGAAGGGACAGCCATGCAAAGGCCTTGGGCTGGAACACGCCTGGCAGTGCAGGAGGGAGAGAATGGTGGGAAGTAGGTTCAGGGCAGGTAGGGCCTCAGAGGCAGGGCAAATGTACCACCTGTCACTCAGGCTGGTAGGCCTCTGAGAATAAAAGGGGGCAGTATCAGTAATACTCGGATAACACATGGAAGCTGGGACAACTAGAACGTCTGATCGTCCTGCCTGCACGCCATTATCAGGGCTCTGGCTTTCCTTGTGGGGAATGATAGCTATCAGAGGGAGCTGAACAGAGAGATGATGTGATCAGACAGCACCCCTCCAACATTTTAAATAAAAAGTTTTAAGGTTATCTAAAAATTTTTAAAAGTGAATTGAGAGAATTTAGTAGCGGATAGGATTGCATAGGTGGCACATATATACCCACCACCTAGACCCTGTAGTTTTTGTTTTGTTTTGTTTTGATTTTGTTTTTTTTTGAGACAAAGTCTCTCTTTAGTTCAGTCTGTCCTTGAATTCACTATGTACCCCAGACTGGCCTTGATCTTGTGGCAATCCTCCTGCCTCAGCCTCACAAGTGCTGGGATTACAGTTGTGTGCCATCACACCCAGCTTGATCCTGTAGCACTTTATAGTATTTGCTTTATCTCCTATCTACATCTATCCATCTTATTTTCTTGATAGATTTCAAAATAACCTGCAACAATACACTTTTTTTTTTTTTTTTTTGCACCAGGAATTGAACTCAGGACCTTGTACTTGCCAGGCAGGCGCTTGTGCCGCTGAGCTATATCCCCAGCCCCTAATACACTTATCTTTAAAAACTAGGATGCATGTCATTAACTAGAGTGGAGAACACTTGGTTGCAGAGGTATTTTCCTTTGAAGTCAAATATCCATCTAATGAAATGCACAGACAGTATTGACTGCATAGCTCTTTTGCCTTTGCCTGGCTGCACAAAGAAATACTCAGTGGTTCCTCAACAGCTCTTTGTTGTAACCACCGAAGGACTCTTTAAGTTTGATGCCTGACTTCTACTCCAGATATTTTTATTTGCT